ATGCAAAGGTTAATAGCAGAAGAAGAAAAAATAAATGTGCAACAGAGCTGTCCGCTACTACAGAAGCAGCTTTGCACTCATCATTTCCCCATTGTGGAGTATACAATTTCTTTCTCTAATTGTGAGATTGATTCTGATACCTTAAGGAAGGATGATACTGATTTAAAAAAAAATAATAATAATAATACATAACAATATCTAACTTTGAGGAATTATATAGTATCAAAATACACATAATAGCCTCATATATATGATTGCTGTGTTATTATACACTACATGTATTTATATTGATGTAAATGGCTGACAGCCTCTAAACATTAAAGAATATTTAGCATCCTATGATAGGGAATACTAATTGTAAACACATCTGCTCAGAAGCTCTCTCTCAAACTTTGTCTCCTTGAATATTAAGGTTTTCCAGCCTGGAAGCTGTTGATTACTGCTAAAATGCTGTCCCTCAGGCACACCAGCTGCAAGAGATAAATAGTCATTATATCTAAGGTCAAAATCACTTTCTGGTGACATATATTTTGCCTCTTAAACATATCATGCTTGTAAGACCACAGGGGGAAGAATACATGTGCCGTGCTGCTCTCTATGCTGATACACAGCGCACATGATATGCCAGAAATCTCCTGTAATTGGAATACAGAACTATAACTGCAAGGTTCTTGTGCAGAGCAATCAAACTGATCTCATAAGCTGTGAAGATCATGAAGTTGCTTCTGCCTGTATACATAGCTACTAAAAAACAGGAGAAATAAAAGCAGTGAATTAGCTTGTTTCAGTGGAAACAATGCTGTTTCAAACTAGATGATGTTGATACCTGGTAAGTCTAGACAGTATCACCACTTCTGCAGTAGAAGAAGATTTTCAAGCGACAAGTTCAAAACAATGCACTAAGTCAAGTGGACATTTTTATTGTAACTCTGTATGCTTTTGAATGCTGATATCTTCCTAGTCAAAGGATTAGCATTTCCAAATCTTTTTGTGTCAGGCAGATAGAAGGCCTGGTTGTTTAGAGGCTAATCTTGGGAACTGTAAATATAAGGTTGTTAAAAGCAGAACCCATCTATTTCAGAACCTGTGAAAAAAACATTCTAAGAAAGTTCATTCTCATTTCAGTGCTTCTATCTACTTTGCACACTGGTTTTTTTATTAACCTGTCTCAAACAAAGATTTTATTTAGATAAGCATGATATAACTGTCACTAAATGTGGTCACAAACATTTTACTTTTTATTTAGTCAGTTCTTCCATGCATGTAGATGACAAAAACAAAAATCTGTACTCTACATTCTACTCTGGTCTGCTGATAAATTTGCTGGAAAGATTTGTATTTTGCTTTGCTTTTCTTCTGTGTGTTCTTTTTTCATATTCTGTATCTCTGACAATCCTGACAATTGTTGCAAACTTCAGATTTCTGCAGCCCTCAAGGACAGCTATTGAACTTCAGTGAGAAATTATATGTGGGTGTCTACTTGATATTTAGTCCGATACACAGATAATGTTTCCTATAAACATGTTAAAAATGTCATTTGTAAGAAACGAACCCCCAAATTAATAATATTAATAACACAAACTATCCCTAGAATCAGAATACCCTTTCTTCAAACAAACATCTTCAAAAACAGTTGATCATATGTATTTTGTAAAGAAGCTGATGGCTGTGGTCACAGAACTGGAAGTCATATACTAAAAAAACACCAGCATGAAGATTAACATGTTTCATAGCAAGTAGCCATACCACATGCTACAGTGCAGAAACATGAGTGCTGTCATCTCCTACAACAGTTTTACTTTCATTTTTATTTATTTGTGATGTGAGCGTAAAGCCGTCTGTGAAAGTGCTACTATCAATAGAGGTGAGAATGCATAGACTGATCTGAGCAGTCTTTGCTCATTGAACTGATGTGGAAAAACAGCACAGAGAAACTTGTGCTACTGGTGATTAGAACACTTTTATTCTTGGTTGAAAGCTCCCCAAGCATGAAAGAGAGTAATTGAAAAACAAGCAAGATGAGATCCCCTGAAGACATATTCACTTGTTTCTCACAGCCACAATCTCCTCCCGGATTTTTTTGTCACCTTACAGCCAAGTCTGAAAGCAGTTTCATAGTGTTTACAGAACAAGTGTTTTTAATCTTCTTGTTTGCCTCAGTCTCAGAATTATTCATTTTCCCAGTGTGTATTGTATTTTATACCTTTTTTGTATATCTTTCTTATCTTGCTATTTATACTTATTTAGAAACAGCCTGGGTTGAGAACCGATTTTGTTTTCAATTATTAACTTTTCTTCTTGGATGCTGATCAATTATCAGTACTTTAACTATTTTGAAGGTAGTTACAAAGCTTCTGATTTCTATTTTTTTTTTGACAAAACAGTTCCCAATAGTTTCTCCTCTCTCTTTTTATTAGGTAGGTGAAATTACACAAACTACGTTTCCATGGCATGCTTTATTGTTTCAGGCATATCTGCATTAAGAAAATGTTACAGTGGAAATGTATTCTTTTTAAGTGTATTGGCTTTCAAGGGTAATGTGAAGATCCTTTTGTTAAAACTGTCAATTCATATGAGCTTGAACATCTGTTAATCTAAGAAAAATTCACTCAAATTTTTAATTTTATCTGCTCATTGTCATGAAGACATAAACAAGCTGAGATTCACTCTGAGCTATGCTCAGTATAACTTACTGGAAATTAATGAAGCTCTACCTGGCAGTTGCAGAGTGGGAAATCAGTGTATTGCCTAGGAAAAATAGCTATTATGATGTTTCAAAAATCAGGTATTTCAGTAACTGTTGCAAAATGGAAGTTTCATTGCACAAGATAACACTCAAAAGGCATTGAAACTGTCTAGGTGGGAAGCTTGATATGGTAGAAGGATAATTGGGCTCACTAGTACTTGAACAAAGAGCCACAACAGACTTCATTCAGAAGGATCTTAATTAAGTACTGTACAAATCTCATTGTTTTTATTTTTTTGTATACTAAGTTGATCAAAATCTAAAGCCTGCCACTAAAATCATCTCTGTAATAAGCCTGTGCTTAAAGGAGAACTAGAGAAATATTCCAAAGCATTAATGAAGTAAGTTTTGATGTGATCTTAATATGATGTGACAATCATGTACTTAGAAAAAATACTCCTGGGAGATGGAGCTCTTCCTGCAGAATAAACTTTACTTAGTGCTTGTCATAATATTAATATAAGGAGTTCTGAGACCTTTAGAGTAAGTAAGGTAGAGAAGGCATCAAATGTATCCTGAACATCTTTCTTCACTTTTTTCCTACTACATTCTCAATTTGTTAGGTATTTCAGTTTGAGGTGACTACCCTGTTCCTGGGCAAAGTGGGAATTAATCCCCTTTTGCCAAATTATTCCTGAAAAATGGTTTTACGTTTGGGAAAAATCTTACCTCCACCAATATGACATCACAAACTCAGCTAGATGACTTAATGTTCCCTTCCTATTTTTTCTTATCCACATTAGTTTTCACTTTATTTTCATTTTCTATGCCTTTGATTGATTTCAGTCTAATTTATATTGTAACTGTTTTAAATTATTGTTTTGCCATTTTCTTTTTGTTCTGTTGTCTTTATCCTGACTGTTCTTTGCCTGATGCATTTATAATTTTCTGTCTCTTATGGACTTAGATTTAAGTTACTTAGGTCTGGCTGTCCTTAGTTAAGTGGAACTAGACTCATAGCTAAGCCCAATTCTAATTTCCATCTGGAACTGCCACTTTATCATTTTACAGTGCAGAGCACATACCTCCATCTGTCAAGTGAAGATGATGTCTCTCATCATGAATTTTGTGGTTCAATCATTACATTTTAAAGTCATGCAGACTTCTCTTCTGGAGTAGTAAATAATATTACTGAGTTTGCTGTTTCAATTTTACTCTATAATCTTGTTTAGAGCTGCTAGCTTATTTTCCTTCTTTCGTCTGATTAATTATTTTGGCAGATAGTCTTTTCTGTCTAATTCTGAGTGCTTTTTTTGATATGGGAATTACTAGAGTTACTGACTGCATTCAGCTGCTCTTTGGCACCTCTTTAGCTGTGTTTTTTCTTGTCTTGTGTATAAGATTAGTGCAATAGAAGGGGGAAAATAAATTATCTTTTGCACCTCCTGGCCCCAAAATAGTATCCAGTCAAAAAGACTTCCATTGTAGCATTGTTTGGTGTCATCCAGAGAAACAGGCTCAGTGGAATTGCAAAATGTCTCTTGAACTGAGGGGAGTCTAGCTCCTTAGTGCAAAATAGAAAACAGTGAATTTTATTTTCTACAATTGCTACAGATCACAACATGGCACGGCAGAAGGATGGAGGAACTGAGTGATTACATTTTTAAAGGAAAATTTATCAGCTATTTCTCATTAATAAATAACTCTATGTTGTTGTATCCTAAAGTATTTGTTCTGGTGTTACTTTGTGTGTATTTGCCTTTAAGTGATTAAAATTGATGTGAGTATCTGTTAGCATCTATGTGGTTATAAATCTGTTTATATGAGATTCTACTATCTGAGTCACAGTCTCAAGGGACAAGAAGCCAGTGATTCCATTTCTGACATGTTTGCCATTTCTTTTTTGATCAGGTTTCTCATCAGTATGAAAGGAATGATTTTCACAGTATAAAAAAAAAAAAGCAATGCACTATGGTAATATGTAGAATTTGTTTGTAACTTTACATTCACCAGTAGATTTTGTCATGTTATAAGTGATGGTGTTTTACATTTAATATTGCCCTACACTTTCTTCTTTCTAATTCAGGTCATGCTTTGTTTTAACTCTCATCAACTTATCTCATTAACATTTAACCTTATACCTGCATACAATGTATGTATGGATACAGAATGAGGTTCTACTGTACCAGAATCTTCCTGACTGTCAAACATTTGAGTAAATTATTTACCCATTCAAATATCTTTGATGCCTTTTTTTAGCAAAACAAGTTTATGTTAGGAATTTGTCTAAAGATATATTTTTTTTCTTTTGGTCTATCCCTCTTTAAAAATCATGGTAAGATAGATACGGTCCCACATTTTCCCTGCATATATTATAAAGGTACGTATATGCAAAAACTCTTCAATTTATTCCTTGGGAGAAAAGTGAATTCATCTTATGAGATCGATGCAAAGATGTAATTTTGTTCAGTTGTTCTTTCAAGATACTAAGACCCCCTATCTCCTCCAAGGACTAGAAAGTTCTCAGCCTGGTGCAGTTTACTTTCCTAGAGAAAAGACGTGACAAATTGCATTCTAACTGACATGGTTCTTGATGCTCTTAACACAGAAATAGCTTCTAATAATCCTACTGTATACAAATATTTAAGGAACTACGCTGCTACAAACTATTTTGTTTTCTGGATTAGTTTTGAAACAGTAAACAGTGCTGGGGAGATGCTTAAGACTGTTCTTTAACAACTGCTGAACTGTGAAGAAGAAAATATTAAGAGCATCATCTTAGGGAATTTAAGTTGATGTAGTCAATCTTCTTCATTGCATTTTTCCTGAAGTTTTATATCTGTCTTCCTAATTGTATTGGCAGTCCCTCTTTTTTTGATTTTGACCAGGTCCTTTTTTCAGTACTACATTGTTTGATATTTATCGAATGTACAGGAAATCTTCTTGTCTCTGAAAGGAGTTCTTTTTCAGTGAGAAAAAGGAAACTATAAGACAGAAAGTGGCAAGAAAATAATAAGGAATAATGGAAGTGTTGAAAAGAAAATGCTAAGCTCTTTATCAGCTGTGAATTGCTACTTTTCTCACATTCTGCAGTTATGCCAATTATGCAACCACAAATATAGCAGATCAGCCAGCCAAAGTTAAATAGCTTTGTAATGAAAACATAAATTGTTTTCTAGTATCGTGTTCCGAAGACTGATTTTATTTGAAAAGAGGATTTTTTTTGTTTGAAACTCTTGTATTCCAATGAAAAATAATATTTTTCTGCTATATGTGTAAGACAACTTTCTTTTTTACTTTTTTCATTCACTTTTCTCTCCTGTCTCCTTTTAAAATAAGGTATGGTCTTCTCTCCTTAAAACCCTACAAATGATCTGATTTTCATGGACACAAACAAAAGGTACGTTTGTCTTAACTAATGGAGTACTTTTAATATCAGTTTAATTAGAGAGGGAAAAAAGGATAATTTTACATTAAGGTACACACAAGCTTACTTGCCATGCATCAGCTTGACTATGATAACTGATAATTTCTGCGCTCTTCAGATGTGATAAATCTTGAGTTAAACCTACTTCACAGTTAAACATGATTAAGTAGCTTCTTAATACTATGGGTTTGGAAAGGACAGATTGACTTAGCCTTGTTAAACTTGTGTCAACTTGATCACATGTCTGAGTCTTCAGTAGTTTGAGATGTATTTTAAACTAAGCTTAACTACTCTCTATGCATACTTCAGATTAAAATTGAATATAGGTTCTTTAACATCACTTGCATTGATTTAACCTAATGGAAACTGAAATTAAACTAATATTAAAGCATTGTAAGAAAATCTAATTTTGCCATCCAGAAGAAGGGTAAGATCAACGTATTGAATATTCCTGGTTCTAGGGGCAAATAATTTGAAGGAGAAATGCTGCACATGCTCTAAGGTTCGTAAGAGGAAGGTAGGCCCCCTTGAGCTTAATGGAGCCTAGAATTCATTTAGCAAATCAATTGTTTAACTGGAGCCTCAATAATGCAATTGAAAACCATAATTTGATTATCAACACAGAAAAAAAAAATGTCACTAAGACATTAGGTTTAGTCTTAATTACTTTCTTTGTGTATAGGTAAATGTATCCTATGTGTGTTCTGAGTGCCATCTTAAAGTGCTTTAGTATGGTATTTGAACAGCTCTTTAATATATACTGATATATTGGAAAAACGAATTAATTGCATACTTCCTTTTCTTAGCAGCTAATTGTTAGTCTTGCAGAAAAATTATTGTCAGCTTACTTCACGAAATGAAAAGAATTTTGTTCCAAAAGATCTGGAGTGGTATGTTTTTTTATTTTTTATTTTTGCTAGCTAAAATAATGGTAAACTTTGAGTCATGAAAGTAAGAGAGGAAGTTAGTCATCACACGTTCAATAATGAGGCAAGAATTTCCTATACATGATGCAAATTTTAAAAATATTACTATGTTTTCATGAATAAATAACCATAGCTGGTTATAATTTTGAAGCAAAGTTCTATGTTTGTTGTCCACAAAAGAAATCAAATTTATTTGGAATAGGATAAACGTTTACACTGTAGATTTATGTTGCTGCCTGTAAGTGGATTTGTTTTGCTGTTTCAGAATTTTGTATGTTCTTAACATTGAGCTAAAACTAGAAGTTGGTAAATGTAGGGAAGAATGAGTTAAGGATGGTTGTGTCCAGGCTGACTGTTCAGATGAGCCCATCTGCCTCTTTGCATCCTTTAAAGCCGCAGACATGTCTAAGAAAATGTCTGCGGCCTGTTAATTGACCTCATTCTCATTTTTATTGATTTTGATTCTTTTTTTTCATTGCATTTAATCAAATCAACAGAACAAGATAATTTAATTTGTAATTAATTACGAGTTCTCTTTAATATTGATGAGCTACTTATTTGGACAATTCTACCACTGATAACTCAAAGTTCTGCAGTGATAGCAGAAAATAACAATTTTTTTCCCACAGATATGCTTTTACATATTTGCTTTTTAGATGTATTGAGATTTCTTTGACAGGATACAATATTATATCCGTAACAGTGGTCTAATTGATGTGGTAAATGGGAATAAACACAATGTTTATAAATTCTATACAAAAATTGAGTCCCAACTATCTTAAAAGTCCATTTTGTGCATTAAATCTATAAAACCTATATTCTCACCTGCAGTTGTCCAAGAAACCTTGTGATACAATCTTATGTTCTTAGTGCCCTTGATGTTTCTTGAATTATATTTTTTATCTGTCGTTCAATTACTGCTACATACTTAGTGACTCTAATCTTCTTTTGTGTGCGCACCGCATATATAGAAGAGTGTATATGCATTACTATTGGTTGTAGAAGTAATATGCTGCAAACAGGGGAAAGGTCAGGTGTACAAAGGATGCCAGTGCATCAGGAAACATCTGAGTGCAAGACAGGTTCAACTCTGTATCAAAACCAGTGGCCAACTGAAGGGGTGGTTGCCAGCTTTTTGTCCCTTGTGCTCCACGCATTCCCTTCCAAGCAGAAAAATATTTTGGGATCTGCCTCAAGTCTTCAGCCTCAGATATTGCATTGTGAACTTTCAGGCATCTGTCTCCAGTCACCTGGAAACAGCAAGAACCGTGCACTTGATCTAGACTCTAAAATGTCTGTGCATATTTATTGATGCCACAAAAAGCCAAGCTGTATGCTCTATGTTCTGTAGCATAAAGATTAATTCTGGAAATCTTAAGGTCCTGACTAAACAGAGTTTTTTAACTGGAGTTTTTCTTCTCAAATAACACATTCAACAAAATTAAATCCAACTATTCTTCTGAATGTTGAATTTGATTAAACTTTGTTCATAACACGTCAACCTTCTGTGAACAGAAGTAACTCATCTCTCTACAGCCATATTGTGGAAAATTAGGTTTTAAGGTGTTCTCTACATAGCAGGCTTAACAACTTCACACAGGCGAAGGCCATAGCCACTATTGTTTATCCTAGCTCACTCTCAAACAATGTTTTCATAAAAATCAGGAGAAGTTTTACGTTGCAATAATCCTGTTTTTCTCCAGCTAACTTCAGAATGTGTCTTCCTGATAACTGGTGTTGTGTCGATGTGGCCTAGTCATGCAACATCTTTGTTCCAGGGCCATTTAGTGGTTCACTCCACAGAAATAATGATCCGTTAGAAGATACGTAAATATATGCATGACTGCAGAACACAACTGTTTCAGAGGCACATTTGTGTCAGAGTCAGACAAGCAGAGAAGGTCACATTTCTCCTGTTCACTACGTATCCATGTGTTGTTTTACTGCTGCCAAAAGGAAGCTTATATCCAGTGCTTGCGCTTATCTGGTATTCTGTGGTAGTTTTTGTCTATGCTGTTCTTGAGACTTTCTTGTAGTGTGCTCTTACAGTTGTAGCAAGTGATTCTAAGCTTATTCTTTTTCTACAATTGGTCAAAACAAAAGATTACCTCTCCTTTCCTATGTTGTGTCTCCTCTTCTGTCATGTCTATTTCCGTGTGGATGCTGATACACCTACGTAGGTGTGCATATTAGTGGGAGAAATTTCTTAAACTTCTTCCTGGGGTAGGAGATGGGCTCTATGACCACAGATGCAGTGTTGTACTAAGTGTTCTATGCTAATAATTTCTGAGTGTACTGTAGGCCGTTCCATCCTCACTGTGAATGAAGCTGAGAAAAGTTCACATTCAGACTCAGCCTTCAGATCTGTCTAGCACATTTCATTTATGCTATTAGCAATCTGAAACCTTTTGTTGTCTCGTACTTCTTCCCAGTCATGGCTCATTGTTGACCACTGTACTGATGCAGTCCCTGAGTACCAACCATATTTAGTTTCCTAGCTATAATGCAAAATGGGGCAGAGACATTAATCAAATCTCCAGAATAAAAAGGTAAGCTTCCAATTCAAAGGAAAAATCTTTCCTTCTACATCTGTGTAAGTGGCTCATAACTTATGTCAAATGAGAAGTAATAGGAGCGGCAGGCAGCAATTTCCTTTCAGTGGTCCATGCAAGGGGAAGGCACATTATCTGTCCAGAGCTCTAGTGACAGCTACTGTTGCTTCTCTTCCCATCCCTAAAAATGCAACAAAACAGAAAGGGACTGAGGGAGCTGTTAAACCTGAGGTTATTTTGAAATATTTCACTTGGTAACAGTAGTTACAAATTGTCAAATCAACTGTATTTGATTATTCATTTATTTTTCCTTCCTTCTTCTGTTCTGCCCTCCTAACCCTTCAACAGTAACATGCTCTGTATACTGATATCTATTCTTTAATTTCAACAAGGAATGAGGGAAGTTCAATTAGGTATGAAAACACTTTTTCAATTTTATTTTTGCTTTTTCTTCATTTTTTAATGTTACTGATGGAGATTTCTGCTGAGGCAACATTTTAAACTCTTTTATGTAACTAAAAATGATGTTTTTGCGAGGGTCAAGATACAGTATTTTTCCACATCAATTCTCCTAATTGTTCTTTCAGATGAGTTTATTGTTTTTCAAAACCTATGTTCTAGCCATCATGATTTAATCTAGAGCTCTTCAACTTGCTGGTAATTTTCAGTAATGGTAGTGTCTTCATGCTGTTGTCAATTAGAGCTGGAATCCAGAAAGAGCTTTGCAAACTGTTCTTTATTTTAAAACATTGTTTGTCAAAGTAATGTAATTACAGAAATGCAATTGATTTCCTTATAGTTGGAGATCTGTGTTAGGAAAGCTAAACATTATAAAACAATATCACTGTGCTTCCAATGCCAGGAATAGGTTTAAAAAAATCTAATGAAGGTTCAAAACCATTTTGATAAGAAAAAAAAGAAAACAATAACACAACCAAACGAAACCAGAACTACAGAAATCTTTAGTTCTGAATTTAAAACAAATCCTCCCTTGCCCCATTATAGATAACAGCTTGCAATCCCTGCTCAGACAGGTGATCAGAAGGAGTAGATTCTTTTTCCTTGCTAATTTCCAAACATTTCTTCCCACTGACTAATGTGTCATTTCTGATGAACTGTTTTGGTGCAAATCAATCAACATTTTCTGACAGAAAAAATTTTTGGAATGTTCTCATCATAAATTTATCTTGAAATGTTGTTCTTGATTGTTGTTTAGATTGAGGAACAGATCCTCTTCCCTTTTCTACTCCCAGCCTTGGCAACAGGTGAAGTCTTTGTCTGTAATATGCTTGCTTGTAACACCTCTGAAAGAAGCAAGGTTTCTGTGTTGGCTGCCATTTACGTGGCTTTGAAGAAAGACTTGAGCTGTCTGAGAGAAGTGACATGGTAAAGCTGGAAAGCAAAACATAGACTTCCATGTATATCTGCTCCAATGACAGGGCAGGTGATTAGGAAGGGAGTTATTTCCCCCACTGCATCCTCATCATGCTTTACC